AGGGAAGACTTTCCTACTCCTGGAAAGGAGAAAAATATATAAATTTTTCATTTAGCAACCAAATTTCACAACAGCATGTCAGATTTAAAACTCGCTTGAGCAAAAGAAACTTGCATTACTGTACAAGTTCTTTACAATTCTCACGGAGTTACCAAGAAAAAAAATACGAGGTTAGAAGAACTTAAATAACTAGACTTACAGGAAAATGCACGAAGAAACGCAAATTAGAATCTTCAATAAAATTCAAGCTCAAGGGGCGCATTAGTGTACTATAGTCGATCAGCACGGTCAAGTCGAACTTCAAAGGACCAAAAAAAATCCGAGTTCGGGAAACAAGCATTTTTGTTCGGGAAAGAAAAGAAGGATTACTGGAAATTTTGATAGCTGATATTCAAGGTCTTGAATTGCTTCTTGAATGAGTTTGACAGAATGCTGAACTTGAAGGCAAGGGTTCATTTGCTCAATTAGTCTTTTACTTCCTTTCAAAAGACATAGTTATTCTTATTGCTTTTTCTCTTTTTTGTGTAAAAGATATTAGCCAAAAGGCCTCCAAGAAATTCGAATTAGCGAGGTATTCGACTTGGGGAGGTTCCAGTTATCGAAGTTCAACCTTAATTTGTTGTCTGACTAAAATATGAAGACGGGAAACCAACTTTGGTAAATTAAAAATAGAAGCGTAAATTTGAATAAGCCTTGTTCAGCAATCTGAATAAAACAAGAGTAATGAGGCGTCACCATAAAAAAACTGGACTAAACTATAAAACTCACTAAGTCATTCTTATAGTCCTGCAAGATTTTTCACACCCACCAGCGTAAAAAAAAAAAACTTGAGAACTAACAGGAGGCGTAATCATACACAAAAATATCCAAGCATCAGCAATCAAGTTAGGAACTTCGAAGCGTTCCTCTGAAATATCAACGATCAGGTGCAGAAGATTACTGGGTCAATGTACGAAAAGTTGGAGGGCAACTAGGATATACATAAGACGTATTTAAAATGCCGCATATTTATGGTTCCGAACCAACACAAATTCAGAAATATACGAACCAGAATCTCCGATGACAAGCACCTTCACCTTCTCCAATCCTGCCATCAGCAGAATAAACTTCGCGGTGCATGTATCTCAACACTTTTTCTGAAGACACTCAATCGCACACCAGTACACAAGCCTAAATAGAAGATATTTTATTCCATTTGAAAAAGGCGTCTTGTTTTCTCCTTGTTTGCTTCCGTAGTTTTCTTAAGTTGTTTAACTTGTAGAAGCGAAAAAAGTTTGTATGTATTCTATTCGTTAGGCATGTCGTGGCCTCACTAAACACAGGGTGAATATCGAATCTTTTCGGAGGAAAAAGCACATTAAAGCAGTCGCAGCAGTGGTTCGTTCTCTCTCTCTCTCTTCAACTAGCTCTCAGTATCCTTCGGAAATCAACCAGCATATCACAGGCATCTTGCATACGATGAAAACAAGTTACACGTTTAGTCCCAGAGACAACCACCCACGGTCACTCACGAGCACCACTGTGACATTCACGGCAAGTTTGAGAAAGACGCATTGCTTCACGCAAACATTCAAATGAGTGGATATCAAATATCATATAAAGTATCCTTTCGTAGCGAAACAGCGCTTTCGAGATCCAAGATCCCACAAGAGCTTTGGGAGAAAAAACAGAAGTCGCTTCAGGAAGATCCGACACGTCGCGTGTAAAAGAAAGCTTTACAAAACACAAGTTACATCGCATGACAAGCGCGTCTTCAGCAGGAGTTTATTGAAAGGGGATTCTCGAATTCTCACAACAATTGTCAGTGTAGTCAGATGAGAATTTGAAGCCCATTTTCAGCGAAATAATTCTTCTGATGTAGACAGACAAATCATACCAATAGAATATTGCATGACAAACAAATTCATCTGTGAAAATATCATCCGCACCGAGAGGATTTCCTGAAATAATGCAAGCTGGCGTTAACTTCTCTAAAAATTACTTGATACCCAGTATGAATTGTGAAACTGCCTCTCAGTTCTCAGTGAAACTGAGAAAAGTTACAGATCTCATGACAGTTCGTAGGGAGGCTTCACACCAGTCCACATGAAAGTATTAAAATGCCTTATGACACATGCCAAAAATGTAAACCTAAAGATTAAAATTGCGTGGCTGGGAAAACAGCCGTTGAAGCGAAGTCCCGAAAAAAAACGCTAGACAAAATTGGAGAATCTTCGGGAAAAAATGGAAGCATGCCCCATTTTTTCAAGCCATTTTTCATGCTTCCCATAAGTTAACTTTTCAGGTTCATACAATTTTAATCATAATTAATGAAAACTTGCCAGAAATTAACTCATGTGCCAGGCTTGATATATCCAAAATTATTATTTGTCAATGCCTGACAGTGCTTTCGTGAAACCCACATAAAAACGAAAGGGGGAAAAAATCACTACCTTCACAATAACTCAGTTTTTCGAGCTCACAATAAGTGTATGAACGCAGTTACATACAAAAAACATTGCACGTGATACGATATAATGAGAGGTCTTCACGGAGGATTCTCTCATTCTTTCGAACTGAAGTATTTTACCGGAATTGTGAGGAAACTATCACATGCAAAATGAACGCCAAAAAAAAGTACTAGTTCGCTCTGTCTCTCTCTCTCAGGACACTTCGCTCGGTGAATCCAACGAGTCACACTTCTTCGGTAGCTGTGAGAAAAGGCGGTGGAACCAAAAGATGCTGCTCTTCTTCACTACGTGCACCGGCCTTGTCTGCTGCTTGCAACCGACAACTGCGAAGAACAGAGCGAAAAATGAATTCCTTCCATTTTCGAAATTGGGGAAAATATCCACACTCGAGAACTAGAATCCTTCACCCAATTAATTCAAAACAGGTGAAACACCACGAATCAATCCTTTTGTTTTTCCTTGGTTAATGGATCAATGCAAAATCAATCACCGGAATCTCGGAAAGCCAATACTATACAGTAAATGTTCAGCGAAAGGTTGCCAAAATGTGCTTGAACTTTTTTGCAGTCCAAACGGCATTGGACTCTCAGATCACCCTGGAAAAACCCCGTGCGAGGACCGCAGTGCGAGCCGCAGAAATCGTTAGTACACGAAGGATTACCGTCCTGAACAACATATGACTGAACAGTAGCTAAAATAACAGAACCTTCCCTGCGTTTCGAAAAACAGCTTCTCCTCAAGAAGAATACTTGAAAACAGCCTCAGTCCCAATATCCGAGGTATCAAAGATACTTCAGTACTATTTTGGTCGATTTGAAACGAGAATCAAACTCAAGTTTGTGTCAAGTATGATAGGTACTGTATTCGCTTAGAATATTCGTTTTTTACATTAGTTCGTCATTGTAAATTAGTTACGACCTTTTACATCAGTTAGTCAAGAAAAAGTTTAATATGGTATTGTGTTTGGTTATTTCTGCTGCTTTTTGTTGTTGTTATTTTTACTCCATTTATAGGGTATAACGCCAGGTTACTTATGTAATATGTTAAGTTAGTGTTTTCCAACCCGCTTCTTGCCACTCTGCAGGAAATTTTCTTCAGCATAAAACATTTATCAAAAAAAAAGCAATGCAGTCCTGCTATCTTCATCTGAAATTTTGGAAAGACAATGGCAGTTGAAATTATCTGATGAAAAACAAGGCAGGCTTTCTCCTAATAACACTTCAGACAAATGTTTATCTGCTGATTCGGTATAAATTATTGTATGAAAATTTTTCATTCTGAAAAAACTTTTTTCAAGCCAACCTTCCCAATTTTTCAAGACATTCCAATATAGCTGCTTCCTTGGTTCTTAACCTAATTTTTGAAAAGAAAAAACTTTTTGAATACTGTTCCTAAAATCTTATGAAAATTTGCCAGTCCGCAAGAAAATTATGGAAATTAGCCAGTCCGCTGGCCCAAAAAGATTGGGGAACACTGTGTCAAGTAATTTAAAAGAGGGATTCGAATATAGTTTAGTACGGTACTTCACTTGGTTTTGGGTTAGAATCAGGTAGGTTAGTTGCCATAGTGTTTGGATACGTAGTTCGGCTTTTGTTATTCAAAGTTGCTCATTGAAGTTATTCCCTTGTAAGATTGTCGCAGCAGTAGCAGCTGAACATTTTTAGAAAGCAGTAAGTCTCGAAAAGGACGTACCAGAATTGGCGTTACCAAAGCTACAGTTTCGCAAATTCTAACCCACCTGGTGTTAAGGTTCAGTCGTGTTTTAGTAACAGACAGGTGCTAAGACAAGCAATCATGCCTTCCACATTTTTCCGGAAAATGCTCCTCGATGGAAACTTATGGAAGAGAGACATGCAAAGGTGAGATATGCACGCTAGGATTCGAACTTGTTCCGGGATCAGAGAAAACTCACCGATTAACTCAAATTTTTCTCACCGCGTCTCGCACCGACACCATCTCAGAGCAACCTGGATTTTGATTAACATTCACAAAACGAATAAGAACACAAGGAAAACATTTCAACGTAAAAAATTTCAAAAATTAAAGGCGTGGCAAAAAAAATTATGCTTTTGCGGGAATTGTTTTGCAACAAAGAGGCTCGTGCTTTTGACATTCCTCAGCTACCGTGAGTACGTCCACATTCTTTCTTCCATTCCAGAAAATCGATGAGCAAAAAGAGAGAGGAAAAGACAGGTTAAAATTACCTCGTAGCAGCAACGTTGTCCATTCCGTAGCCTTTCCTTCTCCACAACCATAATCCCACGATTGCACAAACGCTGAGTCCAACGAATATCAGAAGAGCAGCTGTAAGAAAAGAGTCAGAAATACGTTGAACGACTTTCATAATTGAAGTTACATTCATAGTTCGCTACTAGAAAAATAGCTTGCTTGCTCAAGTCTTCCTCGAGCTTCAATCTGGGTCCAGATCCAAAAATTCTTCATGAGATGAAGTTGAAGTTTAAATAATAATGCGCTCCTACGAATGCAGAAAATGCTTGTCAAACCTTGTGGTGAAATTCGTGTTGAGAACACAAACTTTATCTATTATATATTTTGTATCAGTGTTCCTACACCCGTGGTCCACGAACCAGCGTCAGTCCGCAGAAGTTTTTCGCCGGTCCGCCAGAAATTTTCTTCTGCATAATAAATGTATCAAAAGTAGCAAAGACGTCTGTTATCTTAATCTGAAATTCCAGAAATACAAAGGCAGTTGAAATTATCCAATAAAAAATAAAAGTTGGCTTTTCTTCTAATAACACTCAAGACAAATGTTCACCTGCAGAAATACATTATTTCAATTTTCCATTCGGAGAGACCTTTCGTCAAGCCCACCTTTCTAATTTTTTGAAGACACTAACAGTATACAGTAGTTGCTTCATTGGTTCTTAAATTAATTTTTGGAAAAAAAAAGAACTTTTTAAATACCAGCCAGTCTTTGAAACAAAACTTTTTTGAGTCTGAAAAAATTTCACGAAACTTTGCCAGTCCACAGAACTTTTTTTGTGGAAATTTGCCGCACTCCAAAATTTGTTTATGGAACTTTGCTGGTACGCGGGCACAAAAGGCTGGGGAACACATATCATGAGGGTTGAAATCTCTCCTCTCATGATTTTCTCGTAACATTTGGAAAATCTTGAGAAGAACTCGAGCAAAAGTTTGATTTTTTTTTAATCATACGCAGTATCATTTCCTTCATTATTTATCACGCAATAATCATTTTTAGGAGAGAAACAGAGAAAACACTTGCGTAAAATGACGTTTGCAAAATGCGCTGTTGGGTGCACAACGGCTCTGAGTATTGGAGTCGCTCGACTAATGCTGCCGTTGTTCGAAGGAGCCTTCACACCCAAAATATCACAAATCATCGGGAAAATGTCCAAATTCAGCATCAATTCTGCAGCTTTGGAACTGAGACTAGGTTCAAGTTTGAAACCGGGTTTGAAACGCGGTCCGTGTCCAATCATGAACGGGTGCATATCTTCCATGTCATTGTCAAAGCCGTGCTGACCGTATATCATATTATCCGGCCCTAGGGATCAAGAAAGAGACTTTTCGTCTAAATAAAAAGTTAACAAAGTTAATAATCGGTTTGCTCACGCATATTCCAGGCATCGAGCCAAAACGCCTCTTCGAAGGCATAGCCAACCGGGGAAATGGCGAGAAAATCAGGAAGGTGATCCAAGTGTCCCAAATGCCATTTATCGGGCCAATCCTCGGGTGTATACAGCTCGAACTTCAGCGCTTCGGACGCATTTCTCAACTGTTTTTCGACTATTTCTTCTTCGCCTGAAACCGCAATTCAACACGGCTATGACCCCTTCTTGATAATAATTATCAATCAATATTGATATGTAAATATTTTTATCAAATTTACTAATGCATTATATATATGTACTGTACTGTATATCTTTACCATTCAGGGAGACATAAGAAAGGCATCTTCATTCGTTTTTCACAAATTTGAACGAGAAAAAAACGCTGTTGCAGAATGTGAAGATCACGTAACTCTGATCACGAAAAAGCGGACATTGGAAATAAAATCTTCTCTAATCAATCAACATCACACACCTTCAAGCGCGTAGAAGAACAATACGGGCGAAGAACTTCCACGAGCGACCTTCGTCATATCAACGTGCTCAGTGATGTTCAGAATTTTAGTCCCATTAACCGGAGACATGCCGTGATCAGAAGTCAAAATTACGTTGACCTCGTCCCATAAACCAACGTCTTCCAATTTCGTTTTTATGTAATGTGTCAAATTATCCAGTTTCTGAACGACGGCGTCAACCTGAAAAAAGAGAGGAAACCCCCATCAGTAATATTGAGAAATGGTCTTCAGAAGGTTATAAAAAATTAGAGAAACCTCTTCTGAATCGGGTCCAAAGTTGTGTCCGCTCTTGTCAGGCTCCTCGATGTAAAAAGCGACGAAATTCGCGGGGGCTTCAGGATCAGTGAACCAAGGAATAACTTCGTCGACTCGAGCTTCCCAGGTCATATTCGGCGCATAGGTCAAGAGATGTCGCGGCTTTCTGCCTTCGGGTCCAAAGCCGAACGTTGCACCGGGCCACATGCTCACTCCGCTGTATCGTCCGTCACCAGCCATTTCATTCACCACCTAAACATTAACAGATGGAAAATTAGTCATGAAACAAATAAATTCTTCATTTAAATTAATCTGTGCTTCGCAAAACTGATAATATGTCAGCATAAACACACGAATATTAATTTTTCTTCGCCATTGCATAGATTCTGTTGCTTTCGTGACGCCAAAGCTTGGTCAGGAAACTCAGGATACGCTTCTAGGACAGCGGTTTTTAAATTTTCCATCAGCGGTGGATGAATATAAAACAAATACCCCGTATTTACTTCAGTAACAAGCGCACCTTTTTTTACATTTGAGAAGAAAAAAGCGGGAATAAATTTTACAAAAAGGTTTAGAAATTTAGGTGGCATTATAGGCATTAAACTTGATTCTAACGCGAGATTTTGGACCAAGTTCGACAGAAAATTGAAAAATCCTCGAATGCATGTCTGAATAAAAAAAAATTGGGTATTACTGTACTCATTTTTGAAATATTGCAGCTTTACAATCACTAAAAATTGGGTGCGTGTCTTACTCAGAGAGAATTTTTTCAAAATTTTCAAATGAAAAACCCAGGTCCCACTTGAGGGCGCGTAGTACTCGAGTAAATACGGTATTTAAAATCGAACAAAACTTCAACTTCAAGGAATATAAAAACGAAATATTTACAGGTAGACTATCTCTACAATTCAATTCGAGGACCAGAAAAAAATAGTTTTGAAGAGAATTGCGTTTTAGATAACATATATAAATTCGGGGAAAGAAACCAATGAAAAAAATGCTGTACACAAAAATCGTCGCAGAGAAAGTCAACCTGTATCACGAAGTTTAACAAATATGAAGTTAAGGCTATAGACTTGCAGAATGATACAGACAAGTGAGACGAGAAAATAGACAGATCGACCATACTTCCTAATACTATTCGCGGAAATTTTCAAGTACCGTCGGTAAAATTAGTACCTATTTAGCTTCGTTCTGCTCTCGTTTTTGTGCGGTTTAACGAAACTTTCGCGTGGTAATCATTGAAGGAATGTGACTGGTAACTGTGGTTTCCTAACTAGGGTAAAGGGCCCACTGATAAAAGAGGTTTAAGACAAGTACTGTACTGTAGAATACTTCATTCCTGTTCGTTCTATTTCGAAAATTTTGTCAGTATTTGTTCGGAACGCACTAATTAATTCCCCGTACAGTCGTGCGCGAAAAAAGCGTACCATACAGCGATGGAAATACTGTAGGTTCATTGTGTGAATCACGAAAGCACTTGAGGAAACATACAAAAGTACGGAACTCACCCACAACGGCAAAACTCCGGGTCTTCCTCCAACAAACTTCTCCCCATCATTGAACATATTGACAACAGCACCGGTATTTCGATCATACACGGAATTTGAAAATCCTCCGTGATATCCAGGGTACAATCCAGTCACGAGCGAGATGTGATTCGGAAATGTTTTGGTAGGGAAAACGTTCTTCAGCTGAGGAACGTAGACCCCGTCTTCGACCAACTTGTCAAACGTCGGAGTGGGGCCGTGTTCGCCCAGGTACGAAAACCGAAACCCGTCATAAGAAATTAGCATCACCTTTGGGTGCGGGGATGCAGCGTGGTTCGTCGCAAAAACTGCGACAAGTTCCCAGACGCAAAAAAACACTTTCCACCAAAACACTCGCTCCATCCTGTCCTCGACTGAAAGAAGAAATCGATTTTTTTTTAACGTAAAAAAAAGAGGAATGAAATGTCTGGCTCATGCGGCATGGTATCTTTTCGAAACGCTCTGGTTCTTCTCCTCAGCTTGTCGTAAAATAATACGTTTACAGACACATTCCATTAATATTTGACAAATTAAATTACCAAGCTATAGTTGATCGAAAAGCACCAAAATGTCCAGCTTTCCACTTTCTGCTTCCAGCGCAAAACAATATCTTTTACAGAATTCATCGAACTTATTAGATAAAGCGTCTTTAATAAGTGCACTGACAGAAAAAAAAAACGAACGACTCCCATACGAATGTTCCTTAAGCCAGTTTCCTTGTATTCAAATTTTTTTTTAATGTACAGAACGAGTGGCGAAGGTTTTTAGATTCCAACGAAATGATGAATTAACACATACGACAGGTATTCCCGTGATTAAGGATAGTCGTCCACGAAATGAAGCCTGATCTTTTCAATTAAGATCTCCATTATTTCAAAACAATAAAGGGTTCATGTTCGAGAAACACAACTTCAGAAAGAGAGCAAAAAGTGGAAATAAGGACCGACGAAGCAGAATAAATACGAACAATTTGTTTACGACTTCAAGAACAGCTTTGTTATACACAGGAAACGACTAAGTAATTCCCCGTCCGACACAATCCACTAGCATATTGCACTAGAACAGGGTTACCAGTGGTTCAGAAAACTAAGTGCGCTCGGCCCACGGATTCTTCTCGATGAATTCATCGAATCCCAAATTAGCATAGGTTTGATAGGGAATTTCAGGATAATTGGGGAAATTTTCATCTCCGGGCAGAGTTTCACTTCGTGACGTCCGAATACGCCAACCACTTGCCGACAACCAGGTCTTGAAAAAATAAGAGAAAAAATATTTGAAGTTTTGAAAAGAATCAATTGAAATGATTCGATGCACTCACTCGATCGTGGTAAGTGAGAAGATACGTCAAGCTACAGACGGAGAAGAACGCCATAAGGCCTTTGCCGACTCCCCATCGAAGAGTATAGGCATTTGCTCTGCCCTGAAAAAAGAAACACATGAAGAATAAGCTCAAATTAGGACAAACATGGAGCTACAGTGAAATTTCTTAGACCACAGAAAATAAAATCATAGAAAAATACAAGCAAGGAACCCACGCTACTTAAACTCGTTATCAGGCTTCAGATTTTTCAAAAGAAAAACGTTGGCAAAATAATTCAGAGTAGTTCCGCGTTACACATACTATCCGACAACTCAATGCCACGTCATCATTTTTTCAAAATTTTATAGTTTTCGGCATTCAATTGGACTTGTGCTAACTGTTACGGTAAAACGAACATAACGCCTCTTAAATTCCATAATTCCGAACTATACGACAGAAAATTACCATCGCGTTCATTTTCAACGCATGATAAAAATAATCAGGTGAGTTCTCAAGTTTGTTCGTAACTTGTGCTAATTTTCTGAATTTAGCATATTTAGAATGCACAGTAGAGTACAGTTTTAATCGTTGAATTAACCGCGTCTCACATTCGCCTAATAACATTTATCTTACAGTTGCCGGTTAAAAATGGTTAATTGTCTCAGAATCGATGCGAAGTCTAAACGGATGTTATCATTCACGTTTCAAATTCACATGAGGTGAAATATTTCGAAAGGATGGAGTCTTTCGGTTAAAAATTGGAACTGCTTCATAAAAAATCACTAATGCTAATTTTAAAGCGTTTCTTTACACTCGTGAGCAGTAAAAAAAAAAAAAAGACAGAAATAAACAAATCAGTTTTATTGAAACTCTGATAGCAGGAAAAAATTGCGACAGGGCTTTTTTTCCCCACCTCTCCTGCATCAAGTTTCCTAAAGCTGAGTTTATTATTAATTTTTTTGTTTAAAGATAAATTACTGAAGTACTTGAATGCATCACAAAACTTCCTCGCGCACTGAATCGTCCGACCAACGTTCACACGAAACGCTCACGGGAAATGCGATACCACTGTAATTGAAAGTTGTATTTCGATTTAAAACTAGCACAGCTTTGTCAAAAAGCCCAATTTTCAACTTTTTAATATGTTTCGATATTCTCTTGAATAGTAATCAGCAACAAAATAAGTTTTACTGTAACTTACGGTGGCAGGAAAAATTGCGACCAGGATTCCTATCTCGCCTACGTCAAGTTTTCAAAAATTGAAAATATTTTTACATTTTGGAAAGATAAATCACTACTTCACTGCATCACGCAACATGCTTGCGCACTGAATCTTTCGACTAACGTTCACACGAAACACTAAGGGAAACGCGATCCCACATAAACGCGGGGTGCAACTTATCATCACTCACTCCTCACACGAGCATCACAATTTAAACACAGTACTGCAGAAATGTAAAACCCGTCATTTCACAGACGATTACTCCAAAACTACCGTACTCACCAACGCCGGTTCCAGGGGCTTGAACAACGTATCCAACGGCAACATGACGGCCCGACGAAGCGGGTTGCAACGTTCCCGGAAATACTCGGGCACGTAGACGGGTTCACGCGGCGACAGCTCTTGATCCTTCAGCCACTTGGCTCTCCATGATCGCTCATCCTGAAAGGAAGCGTCAAAATCATGAGAGGGTTCTTGAATAAACTACGGAATATAATGCCCTTATCGCTAAGACGTCTGGAAGGCATCTGCGCAAATGCCCAGGGGGAGGATCTAATGTCAACGCGGGCTCTATACGAGGGTTGGTTCATAAGTTTTGCAAATTCTTGAAATAGATACGACAGAGTTTCAACAATTCAACTTTTTTTTTACTTGCATAGCTTATCATTTGGCAACACTTCAGTGCTGTTCAACATACTCTCAGCCGATTTCAATGCATTTTTTAATGTGATAACTCCCATGATCAAAAGGGTTCCAAAAATCGAGTTTTTTTGGACTGTGACTTCTACTGATGATTTTGAACACAGCGACAACCTCATTTCTGCCATCAAAGAGCAGCTTAATAAAATAATGGAATTGAAGTTTTGGCACTGAATTGATCATTGTATTTATCGCATAAAAAAACGAATTGAAATCGGCAGAGATCATGTGGAACAGCACTGAAGCGTTGCCAAATGATGGGCTATGCAAGTAAAAAAAAAAAATTGAATTGTTGAAACTCTGTTGGATCTATTTCAAAAAGTTGCAAAAACTTCTGAACCAACCCTCGCATATAAACACGAGAGATGGCTCAAAAGTTGTCACCAACAACATCAACAAGTTCAAAATAGTTAGATTTAAAATACTTCTGTTCGGAACATGGGTTGTCAAATCTGGGACAAGTCACAAAGAAAACGTTTCCACCATTCGAAATTTTCCGATAGCGATTAGAATGCCTGCGATGCCATCATAACACGTGCTGAATTGACTCATTATGGTGATGGGATGCAATGGCAAGTTGGCAACCATGTATTCTCCACGGGGTAGTCAACGATTGATTTGGAACAATCGTCAATAAATTATCAAATTCCAGCACGTAAAAATTACTCCCGTCTCCATCTGGACAACGAAACATCTTCAAGGACAGAAAAAACAAACAACAAAAATCCTAGCACTGTACTCCTGCATTTATTTTGTCCTATCCAACAAAATATTTTAGTGCGAATAATTTGTGCTTCGATTATTCAAGCCGAAAGCTAAATAAATGCCCTCGTTGATTTTGAACGTTCACGAAAACACGGCTATCGAATCAAACATCGGACATGAAGAAAATTTGAAATTCACCTTCTCAACGATCATCCTTTTCCGAATTCTTCAGTTTTATTTTAGGACGCACGTGTTCGTTCAATGCAAACTTCTATGATGAAATGAGTTACAGATAAAACCCTTCCTTTATAGTACGGTACTGCATTAAAAAGGATCTGGATTTTCCGCGGAAGCACATTCTCCAACAAATGAACTCACATTCACGCAAGGAAATAAGCAGCGATAAACGTTCGAAGCATCGTATCCTAGAATATATGCAAATACATCATAACTTCGATCAGCTAAAACACGAAGTACTTGATTAAAATGCTAAGCCGTGAGATAACAAATCTCCCAGTAAACCTTTATTAATGTTCAACAAGAACTATGAATACTGATCAGCTCCTGACAAAGATAGACCGGTTTCTACATCGAATTACCACGAATTATTAGCATAAAATATTTCCATTCTATGTCTCTTGAAGTTTATCGAAACACCGAGCTTCGATTATAACTTCGAAAGAAAAATACCGTAGCACTTCATGGTGATCAATCAGGAAACCTCCGGACCCCAAACAAATCGATGCCCTGCCATGAAATATATTTACGCTCAAATCAATGGAGCAAAAAAAAACTTTAAATAAGTTTCTTCATTTGAGCTACAATGGGAGGAACTCGAAAAAATGTTGGAAAATCTTTTCATCACGTTGGAAATTCTTCGAGAATATAATTCGAAAACGAAAATTGACTATCTTCTCCATGTCATTCCCACAGGAAGTTACTTACTATACTTGTTCAACAGTTAGAATTCCCTTCTCAAAACGTTTTTCGATCCTATATTTTATGCTCAACCTGAATTTACATAAGCAAATGTTTAAAATACCAATACATTTGATACACTGTACACATATACAGTACAGTTTTTGTAAAACATGACCATGAGTTTGTTTTTATCTTTCATAACGATGTTAATTCAGAGTCGAATTTTCCGGGAAAACTAGCTGATCTCAGCGAGGATAATCGAAGTCTCGTCGGGTTCATGGTCACGGGAACAATTTATTTTCTGGATGGCTCTGGTCTATGTAATAAATACATTTCAGACGGACTAACTACTGAACTAGGTATCACTTGATCATCATAGCACGAATTTCTTATAGTGAAACCACAGCAATAATTCCACCTCTGGTGTAAATAACAGCAATAACAGTAACACATTTTACACCTGAATCCCTTCTTAAAATTTGAAACTGCTCAGTATTGTATTCAGAGCAACAGGTCCTGAACATTACACATTTCTCATTAGAAATATAAATCCCAAGAAAATTGATGTCCGCGCCCTTCTCACACGTAAAATTATAGTAGATTAAAAAATTAATCTAAAAAACCACGTTTTCTAAAAGCAAAAAATAACCTTAAACGTGGTGCGCATCTATTTCATTTGTATTTCACTTCTTCTCAACAATCTCCATGCGCACCACGTTTAAGGTTATTTTTTGCTTTTTGAAAACGTGGTTTTTTAGATTAATTTTTTAATCTACTATAATTATTTTATTCTTTTTAAAAAATATTCTTAAAATTTATTTTTTCACAAAAGATTGCATTGTCATCAGTTTCTAGGCTATCCTGAAAGTTTCAGCTTGATAGCTAGTCGGGAAGTGAGTGAAATTTGAGTTTCAAAATTTGATCCGGACAAACAGACAGACAAGAAAGTGAGTTCATAAAAACGTGGTAATAATAATAATAATAATATACAGAAAACTTTGGGCACATCGGACACGACATTTTCTACCCCTGTCCCGATGACACAATATTCATGTTTATCCGTAATTATAAAAATGTCTCCAATGAGAAACATGTGATGGTTCTAATCCTAAGTCGAATCATTTTGGCAGCTAATGACATTAAATGTTTGATTGCACAGCAATTGCTTCTTTTGCATCATCCACATTCTCCGTAGACGTTGTTGTCCCAAGGCAGTCTTCACAACAGGCAAGGTGAACGTCAAAATAACTTCCGGTACAATTATGAGAACTACTCGAAAGCTTTCATTCAAAATGCTGCTGCTGTTGGTGAATACAAAATTTTTCAATCGTTCAAATGCAATCAATCCATGATCAAAGTGAACCCACCTCACGCCTTCCTTCCTGTCAAAAGGAAGTTCAATTTATTTAGCGACAGCCCCATTTTCGTTTTTCAATTTGAGCAACAACAAAAAAAGTAGAAAAAAGATTGATTAACGAGCAGGATATGATAAAACTGCAAGTTCACGACGTTCATTTCCTGCGTATGAAACATCAAAACCCGATTTTCTTTAAATTTCCCACGTATAATGTCACTTTGCCTTCCAACCATTTTAAGCAACTAATTTTGACATGATAAATATTTTACTCTTTTATTTGAAAAGGAAGTACGAAAAAAATGAACTTGTCAACTTTTTCTTCCGGATCGAGAGGATTACCTTTATGAAAAGAACATGGAAATTAATTTTGTTCACGATTTTATCAGTTACAAAAACCAAAAAATATAAGGGCTACTTCGAAAATTATTCGTTTACACGCTGAGTCTCCTGATGAAAGAGGATTAATTTTTGTCAAGTGAATACATCCGTTGAAGGAGACAACCAAGTATCCCACGGAACTTTGAAGCGAAGTTTCCCTTGGAGAATCCCAAAACAATCTTTTTCGAGATTTATCGTCAAAAATGAAAACGCGACGAATTTTCCCGCATCAATCGTCATGTTCTTCAGAGGATTACATCAGAAATTCATGATCAGACCTCATCTTCATGATTCTGCTCGAAATGGAGATGGCTTTCATTTTATAAATCAGGGGGAAAAAATTGCCAAAAATCGACGGCCACAATCTGCGTGAAAATTTGTGGCTGAAAGCAAGGTTTGCCTGCAGAAACCACGCGTTTGTACTCTCGACTAATTTTTCTATACGAAATTAATCTACTAATTTTTCAAAACGACTTCGGCTGAGAATTTAACTCACTTCAGTCATGTTGAAATGACGTTCTCGCACCAAGTACATTCTTCCTCGGATTGACATCGGCTTCGTCCCATGAAGCTGACGACTGGCCCCAGTCGGGATATCTGGGGGTTGCCAATGATGATCTTCACCACCCATAATTTTAGTCACTCAATCACTGACCACAGAAACCAAACAAGCAAACTTTCTGCAACAACAACAAAAATGTTTGCAAATCATTAATCATGGTACAGGTTGAGGGAAAAAAATCAACAATGACGAGTCGATTCCCCCATCGGTGCATTTTAAAACACGAGACGAAAGTTCGTCCCGGAAAAAATCTTAACAAAACATCACAGGTTTTCCACTCAATCCAAACAAACCCCCCAGAGAGATACGACTGGACCGTGTTGCAGGAAAATGCCCGGGTACAATACACCCACGAAGCACTAAAATAAAAAACTGGGCTCCGATTACAACCTACGATTCATTCACATATGTTGACGTGGCTCTTGGAATCACACGTGCATCAGGCCCGAATTCGGCGCACTCGAGTGACTAGCGTCTCTGCGACGACTTAAACTTGGTCAAGTTTTCAAGTGGTGTGTAGATTTGGGTGAGATCTTTCAAACAGTCAATGACAATTTTGTTTCTGGTTCAGCATGACGCTCCGCTTAATGAAGATACAAGAGTTCTACTTCATAACTTCGGTATCACTGTTCGAAATCATGAGGCAAGCAAGCCGGAAAAGGAATTGAAAGCGCGCAAGGAAATTAAGCAGAATTGTTTTCAGTTAGATATCCAGAAAGCAAAAGAAACCGCATTTATTTGCTTTAAAACACAATAATACTTAGGAAGTTTGACAGACAAAACTTCTCCACGATAGATAATTGCCTCGCCAAGTATTTTTCTGCACTAGTCAAAATGTTGGACTTGTCTCCCTATATTCTGCATTTGTTAGTGTACATAATCATTCAATTTATGTCTCCTCTTTACTTAATCATAGTAGAGCAGCTAAAAGTTGCACTGAATTTAAAATTTAAAAGAGATTCAAACATAATTTGTTTTTAAACTTCCTTCACAGGAAACATCTGACACAATAGCACAAGTACCACATTTGGTCAAGTACCACAAATCCTCAAGAAAAACATGCCCCCAAATTCGTCAGCATAAATTTTGATGGAATCCGATGCTCAAGTAAGACACTCACAGCCTTTTTATTGGCTGAAAAACGGCAATATTAAAAATAAAACGCAGCAGAATTCGAGTAAAGACATGAATCAAGCCTGAATTTGATCAATTTTAAATTTTTTCCATTGGGAAACAATTTATATGTTACAATCATTCCAAATTTTCCATTAAAATCGAGTATGACAAGCAATGAAACTTCAAATTCTTGTTTGAAAATTTCATACCCGCCTATGATACGTACCCTTCTTTTTCCCATCGATTTTGAAAAAAAAAGGTGCGCGTGGTACTTGAGTAAATGTGGTAGTTATGGTTTTTCATTGCCGATTCCCTAGAAAAATTTAAGAAAATTTCAAGAATGCCTTTGATGCGTGTGTGTAGGATTTCTGCTATCTTCGCATTAGAATAGCAAAAGAACAAAGAGAATTCAGTGTATCTAAAATCTCCTATTCCATCAATCTATACCAGTTAAATTGAATGGTTCAAATTTAGTGGGAGAGCGTCACTTCCATTAAAACTCCTACAGGAAATTTTCTAAAAAAATCGCTTATTTTCTATCCGGATTGAAGGAAAAAAAAACCTTCGAACAGTGATACAGATGTCATGATGTGAACAGCTGATGAATACGAACAAGGATGCAGCATTTATCCTACGTTCAACCGACACTTCCGATTCAGAATTATTTACAGAGATGTGATACTGCCTCTGAAAATAAAACTTGAGGACCACAATGAAGGGGATCCCGAGAAATTCGGAATTATTTGGATTACTTCACAACAGTAGAGCTGAGTTTCATCAAGGATAGCCAAAAACTCTCAGCAATAACCCTGAAACATGTGCTTCTGCAAATACATAAAAAATACCGCATCATCGTCGCCTGATATCCGTGCCATGCGAACCATTGAACTTGGTTGAATCAGCATCCACATAATCCCAATCTTCACCCAGCCGACGGAAGAACGTGTAATCAGAAGCCGTATAATTCGACGAATCCGGGAAAGTCAAACCCAGGACAATAGTCAACGCACTGGAATCATACCGATGGCAACCTGAATACCGAAAAAGGGGTTTCTTGTCGAAACTGCAGCCCTTCTCTTGGGCACCGATCGGAGAAATGCATTCCGACTTCAGCGCACACTGGACCCACGGAAGCATGATCTTCTCGTGAATTAGCTTTGTATTGAAGAAAATGGCGTGTTCAGCTCCAACCATGTGGTGGAAGTAAAATTTTTGAGCAACAGTCCGGAAAAAGGAGAACATCTTCGGGTGAGTAAGCATTGAAGTGGGCTCTACAGCAGACCACGTTAAAACTCCTTGCGTTTTCGCACGCTCCACCAAAGGCTCCATATTCTTCGACACAAAACGGTAATCGATATCGAGCCACAATGCTGCCCCAATTTCGTTCAAAACTTCCTGCGTGAGGAAAAAAAATGCTCTTAGCACGAAGAGAAGTATATTAAAAGGAGATCCAGGGTTATCTTCAGTTTACAATTCTTGCGTGAGTATGTCACCTACCAAAACACCCGAGTTATGTCCCTGATTTCAATCATCAAATCACTACATTTTGCTGATATCAATTCCCGTCTTGATAATAGAAATCTAAAACACATCAGGATTTCAATTTGCACACGTCATGTGATTTGGTAATGCATAAGATCGGACAGAGGTGTTCGAGGAATCGGGAGCTTCATTTATTTTGGTTTGAGAATTATTCCGAAAGAGGAAGCTGCTTCACGTCTGTGTCGTCAATTGAATTGAATCATCAATTACAAGAGGAAACAGATGTCATGAGAACCCAATCGGAACTTTTCGTGGAAATCTTGACAGAAAGAGTTGAATTATGCAAAATAACCCTAGCCAGAAAAAGTCGTTCTCGAGCAGGTAGCGATCGTAATGACAAATTGTTAGATGGAATTTGATGCAGTTTACTTAAACTGTCGATGAAACACTGGACATGTAGTAATTGAAGCTTTCCGACAAACCTGAATAATTAAGGGTCTATAAGCCTTGAATTTCATTGTCGACACATGAGCAGGATATCTACTGTAGTCGAAGGGTCGTAGGCAGCAATACGCTTGCGGAATGCTGCAATTGCACAACGAGGAAAGCTAAAACGATACAAGTACAACCTTACGATTATATCCAGAATGTCAGCAGAATTGATCATGATGTAGCTTACCGTCTCAGCATCATATTTTCTCATCCCCAGGTCGTATACAATAATGGTATGTTTCTGGGCATGGAATCTTGCGTTTTTGACGAATCCGGTGGCGATATTCAACTCGTCTCCTTGCTTCACCTGTCAGTATCACACGTAATGTGTCACAAACAATCGTTTGAAATAACATTTACAACACTTACAGCTGATACAATCGGAGGAAGCGTTATGTTTGTCCACTTGTGCTCCGGATAGAGCCGAGGATTTTTCACGAACCCAAGCGATTCCAACGCAACTGTGTCGATTGAAGGTTGGAAAACTAATAGATTCTCCTGTATAATGATTGAAGCCCAATTTTATTGAACACTCGAAACGATCATCAAATGCACTCTCACCTTGCGCAAATTTAATCGGCTCAGCTGCTTATTGGTCTCGTGAACAATAGTTTGGATCGTTGGTCGTTGATTACCGAAAGCTATAAGGAGCATACTGGTCCCCAGAATGCACACGAGAAGAACAATGAAACTTTTCGTCTTCATTGTTTCAATGAGACGTAACCAAACAGGAATCTCAGAAGATGGCACAACTCTTGGCATAACGTGACACAGCTGATACGTTACTGTGTCAATATTGCCGTTTCATTCGTATTCACATTGTATCACTAATGGATCAAAGAGGACAATGACGGATCGGATCTATACGGTAATCAACCACTGCACTCGAAGGGAGATCAACAAAAAATTCTTACACTTTAGCATGCCACGGAATTGCGCCTTCGAAAGGTTTTCCACAAAAATTTACGGCTGAAGCATTCGGCGGGAACATTTTCACGGAAGTATGATAATCATTCGATTCACTTCGAACACTCGAGCGATTTTTTGCACGATTAACTACATGCACGCGGTAGTGATCATTCGACGGCTATCTCCGCATTTTCTCTCACTGAAAAAATTTCCACTGATCCTCTGATCTTCCCCGCATCACTGACGTTAATCTAGTTTCAAATTCTTAGTGCATCGAGAAATAAGAAGTAGTTATTAGTTTCAGAAGGCAGAATTCCTTGCATTAGTCGAACGAGTTTTCGGAAATCACGAAGCTGCAACGATTTATTTCGATGAGGGGGACGCCATACTGTAGAAACATTTTCAGAATCAAAGACTCGAAAGGTGTTTCGCAGGTCAATCTCTAGCATTACAGTACAGTACAGTACAGTACAGTATACTGTACATGCATAGTAGGTTAGTAGCGCATAGCAGCAGACTACAATTCTAATATTCATGGAAGGAAACTCCTCAAACTCGCAAATTTAACATCAAAATTCAATATAGAATTGTATTCTTGACAGCTGAAAAGAAATAAGAATTCTTAGTGCAGTATCATGCATGCATTTTGTTTTGAATTTTATCTTCAGCCCCCATTAAAGATGTCATACGCTGGTGGATCATCTGTTGAGAAAACAAGACCAAGAATTCATTCTCAAGTTGATCAAGTTGGGGTATTGGTTCATATTTTCCATCTCATAGTGACATGGTACGCATACAAGGAGATTGTCCTTCAGCAATATAACCAAGATGATGTCCAGGTCCACTTTTTTGCCCATCCCTGGTTCTTGCTTGGATTTTTGGTGGACATAATTGGGATTTTCAGATTCTGTTGAGTATTTCCAGCATCAAATATCCCACTTCTCATTTTAGACATCTATTTTTATTTATTTTACAGCAATCAACAAGTTCAGCTTAGAGAAGTATCAGATGCTGAATATTGCTTCTCTGGCCTACTGTTGTGCTGGTGTTCCATGCCTGGCAGCTCACTTCCATGCCATGAAGAAGATGCCACTAAACTTTGCATACGCACATTTGTTTCTCACAATATTGCCTTATGTACTTTTCAACCGCAGAGTAAGTATATATGCTATATTGAAAAAGTATGCTGAGGATATATGCCAAGTCTGCAACATGGTTCCACTTTTCAGAAATATGAGCCACTGTATGAAGCTGCAAGGCTGACAACTCTGTTCTGCTTGTTCACTATGGGAATAGTGGCAGTAGCTGCTGTGGACCCTTTCAGTCTTGCAGCAATCATTATGATTTGGGTTGCAACCACTAGAATAGGAACTAGTGCAAGGCATTACAAAGGAATAACTTACTACCACTGGTTCATTCTCCTGATTGCCCTTGCAGCTCTGATCATGTCCATTCCATTCTCCCCTTGTCTCTACAAGAAGCTGCCTGATGGTATAAAATCAAATCTTGAAGAGTGGAAAAAGAACATAGAACAAACTCCACCTTGGCCACAATTGAATGAAGCTTTGGGAAGGAATCAAGAACCTGCTGGTGGCTTCTTGGGGTTCACCTATGCCCAAGTTGGACCCAGTTTGGAGGCTTCAGCTGCAGCAGAAGATGAATCCAACGGGTATCTCAGCAGAATCAGCTCTTTTTGGACAGCAAAAGAGGAAACTTGTTCCAGGAAAGACCTTAAAAAAGGAAAACCTCTCCGCACTTGCAGGACTCCTAAAGGAACTGATGTATTCCGAGTGCGCAAAAGAACTTGGAAACTTTAATCACTTACTCTTATAATATAACAAACTCATTTTACTAATATTGTATTCTTCTGTATATATACTTTGAGTGAGAAAAAATTGGCTGGAATCTCATTTCAAGTTGAAATTTCAAACATTTAATCCAGAAATATAATTTTGGATAAATGAACCTTCAATCCTTGCAAATTCATCAATAGAACAATAATATGCTGCAAACTTCTATTTTATAAAACTGAGATTGAGTACTGTAAAGCTTTAAAATCAATTTTCCTCTTTTAATAATTGTTCGACATGCGCATTTTTGAAGAGAAAAAATGGATGATAATTGGAGGAATTCAGTTTTCCCACAAGTATAAAAATTTACGAAAACAATTCAAAAATGTGTAGATAAGATAATTTGGAGGAAATTCTTTTTGCACTACCTCATCAAAACTCGAGATAATTTACAGAGGGGATTCGTAAATTCGCAATTTTGGTCCATGAAAATTATATACATTGCTTTCTCCTAATTTTTTAATAAATCAAAATGTTATAGAAAGGGATCATAGTTCCTTCCAACCTTCCTTGTGGAAAATTTTCAACAGTCCTTCAGAAACAGAACAGATCTGAGAAATTTTAAAAATCAAAATTTTCGCGTACGTACTTGGCGTAGTTTCTTGCCATAAGTTGTCAAAAAGATAGCGATTTTTAGAGGCACCTTTTGGGCTGATAATAAAAACATTTATCAGATCTTTTGATCCCAGAAAAAAACAATCCAGAAATTCCAATCTTTGAAATTTTCTCCTCCCTGTTGAATGTTCCTCCATGCATTTTTGAGACCCCTGCTGATCACCTTGTTTTAATGAGTGAACAGTAATTTTTTCCACAATAAAGAATTTCTCTGTGTAGCAATTTTTTTTTGTCTCATAGGGTTCTCTATTAATGAAATTCTCTATACATCGAATTTTTAATGCTCCTCTGAATTTTGTTTTGAAATATTTCGGATAAGGATCCAGATACAATAGTTCTTTGCAATAATCTATATAACTGCTAACTTTTTGCCTAAAATTTAAAATGGGAAGCGGGGGAAGAATAACAGACAAAGTGTGTCCATCCGGACATGTTTGACAGATGGATGGTCTATATATATCATGTCGCACCACAGGTTCGCGTCTACAATATAAAGGGGACTTAAACATCTCTTAAAAGGGCTTCGCCTTTAAACTGGTCGTATGAATGACAGTAAGGCATATATATTAAGGCGTAATAATAAGGCTTCGGTGTATTAAGCTCAGCATTCAGGACGAAATATGTCGCTCAAGTGCTTGATGAGAACTTTGCCAACACGACTGACGGTTCATCAGTTCGGAATAATAACGATAATAATTTTAAACACTGTTCCTTATTCCATCAATGCTGATCCGAATCCCAGAGCCTCAGTGCATCCCAAGGTGTTGCTGATCTCATTCGACGGATTCAGACACGACTATTTCGACTCGCACGGTCCTTTGCCGGCCCTCGAAGCATTGGCAGACGCGGGGACATACGTACCGGAAGTGACTAACGTGTTTCCTACAAAGACCTTCGGGAATCACTTGTCCATAGTGACTGGACTGCATCCCGGATACCACGGCGGATACGCCAACACTATTTACGACCGTGACACTGGTCAAGTCGTGAGTCTGTTCAGCGATGCAGGGGAGAAATTCGTGGGGCGGAATCCTGGAGTACAAGCGCAGATGTTATATTTCCCCTGAATTTGTAGAGAATTTTCCCGAAGCGGAAATTTGACCAGCATACTTACTGTCATTCCGTATATATAATTCCGCATTATTATTCCGAAGCCACATAATTCGAAAGCATCCAGGGCAAAATATGTTGCTCAAGTGCTTGATGAGAACGTTGCCAACACGACTGACGGTTCATCAGTTCGGAATAATAACGATAATAATTTTAAACACTGTTCCTTATTCCATCAATGCTGATCCGAATCCCAGAGCCTCGGTGCATCCCAAGGTGTTGCTGATCTCATTCGACGGATTCAGGCACGACTATTTCGACTCGCACGGTCCTTTGCCGGCACTCGAAGCATTGGCAGACGCGGGGACATACGTACCGGAAGTGACTAACGTGTTTCCTACAAAGACCTTCGGGAATCACTTGTCCTTAGTGACTGGACTGCATCCCGGATACCACGGCGGATACGCCAACACTATTTACGACCGTGACACTGGTCAAGTCGTGAGTCTGTTCAGCGATGCAGGGGAGAAATTCGTGGGGCGGAATCCTGGAGTCTTGCCCCTGTGGGTACGTGAGCTAGCCCAAGCTATTTTTATTTTTATTCTTTTGCATTTCAATTTGACAAAGAGAATATATACTGCATATATACGCGTGATGGAATCTTTATATACAAAGATCTTGCCTATAAAGAATTTCTCTTTAAAGCGATTTTTTTCTTTAAAAGTCCCATACTGTACTAAAAGGGTACTCTGTATTATATGGGTTCTCAATTTACAGCGAAATTCTCTCTACAAAATGTTTTCTGGTCCCTACAATTTCTTTGTAGAATAACACCCAAGATGCGGACGTAATTGGTGCATCAAGAGTGTCCCTAAGTTGAAATGTCCCCAAGTCGAGTCACATTTTCCCTTAGACTTACATTATATAATCTTTAATTGGTGTTTCATGCACAAAATACTCACCCTAATTCCATGAAAATAAAAATTGTCTCCCAATTTAAACTGATTCAATCAATGTATTTCAACACAATATGAACATTTGGGGAATTGAATACTGATACCTCATCTGTACAGTACATATAGAAGTGTTGGCATTTTCTGTAAAAATAAAATTCAAGTGAAAAAGAGAGAAGGAAGTCCCTCTATGCTGGAGGTAATTATTTTAAATGAGCTAAATGGATGGTAAATTGGGGAGAGAAATGCCCAAGAACTTTTCTTACATCAATTTTAGGGTTGGAAACATCTGTTTCTTGTAATTTTGCCTGAAATTTATTTGCAATTTTACTGCAAAATGTCCCTATGTCAAGTCAATGTCCTTATGTTGGGACATTTTTGTGATTTTTTAATGGTAAAATAAGTGTCCCTAGGTCAAATCATCTGCAGGTCGAGGCGTCCGCATGTGGGGGTCTCACTGTACTGTATGTTGAAAAACCTGGAGACAGGAGGACTCTCTCCAGGGCCGGCCTAAGGCGGGTGCAGCGGGTTCACTGCACACGGGCGCCTGGCTAGGGGGGGCGCAAAAATCAGTGCCAGGGTTGGCGCAAAAATCAGACCTGACCTGGTCAGTAAGGAGGGGGTGTGCCTGCATGATGAGGCGCCAGACACCTCATCATTGATTGACTCATTGAATCATTAACTCATTGATGAGGCGCCTCATCATGCCAGCAAAATTATTTACTTTCAGAACTTTGAAATTGACAAAAGTAAACAGCAAGACACAGGAAGCATCAAAAACTTCAAATCCCTGAGTTCCCTCCCCCCTCCCCAATTCTGATGCTCCCTGTTCAGGCTGTGATGTCTTTGACTGCACCTTAATAGGCCAATCACATGCCTAAAAAATTTAATGGCTGTGTCCCAAGGAATCCAGGAATAAGTAAAAAAAAAAAAAAAACCTCTTCATCCACATATAGTCAGTCTTCTTGAGAGCTTCAACTTTGTGGAGAACCCCCTTT